TAAGATGCCTATGAGTCATCATTCTCTTAGCCTTTTAGGGCCTATAAACCTTTAAAGGATGTAAGCCTAAAGCCAATTGCACACAAACAACCATGCCATTCCTCGTCTCTCATCTTATGGTCATTGCAATCACAACGATAATCATTCATTCTTCCATTTGTCTTATTTCTTATTCAATCAAATAATTATTTTAATGTTTAAGACAGTAAAATTAAATTAAACACTTGAATAAGTTAGATTTTTTAAAACAGTTTTGATATTTGAAAATTGGAATAATAACCATAAAAGAATGTTATAGATGTAAAATTTTCAAACAATTCTTTCCTATCGAATAAATTATTGGAATACATTGTGATCTAATGTTTCACTTTAATTATTTCATTATTACTCACACCGCTGACATTATCGTTCATCATCGTAACAACAATTATCATTACTTTCTTACTTAATACTGACGAATACTATAAAGCTAATTGGATGTAAGTTTTAAAGTTTTCCAAGTTGTTTATTTCATTCAGAAAATATTTATCTGTTAGCAGCGGAATTGATGATGCACTTTGCAAAATCTAAATAAAATTGAATGAGTAACAATAAATAGTTGGGAATAGATAGAGAGAGAAAAAAAGATGAGAATGAAAAAGGAAGAAGAGGAAAGTAAAAGAAGAAAGAGAAGCAACTAAAAATTATCTACTGATTAATCTAATTGTTTACATATATTTTAAATATTTTGAGGTGAATCTGAGATATCATTCAACAAGATATCTTGAAGGATTAACAACCTGAGAACTCTCAATCTGTACCTTTCGGATTTCTCTATTTGTGTATTGCTGTGATTTCTTCTGTCATAATTGTTTAAATTCAAAATTTACAAAATGAGATTGCTCACTGATTCTATTTGCCGAGCTCTATACAACCTTACAAAATTGAAAGTATTTATAATCTTAGCTTCTGCATTTCTTTTCGAAACTGAAGTAAGAAAAGGTGATATGATAATGAATTGTTAACATGGACAAAGAGTTATTACTTATTTTACACGTTTATCCAACTGATACTTTTGGACCAATATTAAAAAATCGTTTTCGATAGTGTAATCATCATTATCCTATCCGTCCAAAATATTATCATTATTATCATTTCAATTACGATTATTAACATTGTGTAAACTTTGCTTCCGATTTACCATTTCTCTATGATACAAGCAAATAATAGCAAAACGAAGAGATATTACTATTTTTAACTTCAATTCTTTTCTAAAATAGAATCCGAGAACTACATTAATAATATCTGCTGGTTGCTTTATCGAGTATCATTCAAATAATGCATTATCATTTATTATTTCTGTTTGTATTAAACTTATAATTAGTGGACGAAAATACATATGATTATTACTATTATTTTTATTTAATGCTACTATTAATTATTATTACTGTTAATTGTCATTATTACTATTATTGTTATTATACTACCATTGCTATTACAATAATAATTATTATTATCTTTGTTATGGTTACCACCATTATCGTCATTATTATATATAATAATTTATATCATTAGTGTTATAAAATGGCAGTATGAAAATTTTTCGGGTATAAATAATGTTGAACAAATTAGAAATTTATGCATATCAATAACAAATCATTAATTACAAATATAAATGACATATTTCTTCTTTTCCTTTAAATTTTAATATTTTTCAGGTTATGAATTTTCATTAAAGTATTATATGTGTAAATAAACATTCGTCCATTCTAACCAACGTTGTTATTTCCGGTACATTTCTGACTTAACGAATTAATTGAAAATGTTTTATTTTAATTGGATATTCTGAATAATCTATCAATAATTTAATCGATCTATTGCTAAAGCGAATTTGTCCTGTTTATTTAATATATTTTCACTGCTAAAATTCAATTTTTCCACTCCTTTTTTTCTTCCTTTGTTATTATTCGTATTGGAATGAATAATTCTCGAAACAATCAATTGAAAAAATCAATTCGTCTTAATTGATTAAATTGATGTTCTTTTACAAAGTTTGAATTTTATTAGCTATTTTTTCCAATCGTAGCAAACCAGGTATGGGAGCTTCCTTAACATCACCTTTACCCCATCGACCGCCAACAAGTGTCTGCAATCATTTGTTTGTGGCATCAGATGCTCCACCAATTTTTCGACATCATCCATTGACAACGATACAGGCCAAAAAGCAATCGGTATTTGCGGCAGGATGGAATTGGTCTAAAAAAGCTGCGCAACAGGTTGGCCTTTTTTTCCGTTCTTCTTTCCCTCTTTTTTCAGGATTTCGAGATTTTTTTTATGATGAAAAAGTTATCAGTGAATGAAAACATCTAACGTTTGAGCATTTATTTGTGAACTGAAAGTTTTAATTGGATGATTTCATTCTATCCATTATATTTTTAAATTAGGTATTTAAGAATTAAAAGGGTCAAGAATTTGTACAAATTTCGTAAGTTATTTAAAATATTTTTCTAGTGTTATCAAATTAATTATTCAATAAATTGGTATATGCTAACGTTATGGAACGCACATATTGCTAAGTTAAGCGGAAATGCTTGTTGTAAAATGAATTCAGTGAATTTTAGAATAAGTAAATTGAAAAAAAAACAAGGAAGGAAAGTGTGTTTGAAAGATAAATAATAGTCGTGAAATTTAAATTGAAATGAATGAAAGTTCGAAATAATAGAGAAAGCATTTTGCAAAGTTACAAAAGCAGTAATCAATCAGTAAAAAAAGAAACACCGAATGTTTTCTTTTTTTAAAATGGATTAAATTACATAAAGTAAGATTTACACAAAAATCACATAAAAAAAGAAAATTAATTACGTAAAGTTAATTAAATCAATCGCTTAACTAATCAGCTAGTTAATCAATCAATCATTTCTAATTCAAAATATTATTTAATTCATCACATTTTTATGTCCAATATTTTTCATTTCTTTTTCTTTTCATTGTTTTCATTCTCTCTCTTCCTCTCTCCCTCTCTCTCTCTCTCTCTCTAATTTTGAGCCTATATTTTAACATTCTTTTGCAATCATCAAAAATTATTTGAGAAAAGAAAAAGAGAAAGAAAAAAAAAAAAAACTGAATTGAAAAAAATGTTGTCTGCTCTTTTCTGAAACAGTGTCTCTAAAATAAAAGAGCCTCAGAAAATGAATGAAGGATGAGTGTTGATGGTAAAGTGGAGATGCTAATAGAGCCTAGTAGAAGAAGCCAGATGATGATATCCATGAAACAATTTTAAGTATTTGCATAAAGATGTGTGTATGTATGTGTATGTGTGTATGTCGGTGTGTGTGTTGGTGTCTGTGCTTGTGTCTACTTAAGTATGTATGTTTAGACAGGCCTGTTTTTTCCCCATTTCCTATATTTTTGCTTCATTTTCAATTGGAATGAAAAAAGAGGCCAAAAAGCTAATTAATGGAATCATTTTAAAATCCATTTTCCTAAGGCTTTTCTCATTTATTTGAAAAATGTCTCTCTTTTTCATGATTTCATTTCGTTAAAATTTACTAAACCAAAGTAATTTTTTGTTTACAAAAAATACTTTAATATTTCATTAGGAAAATATTTCTCACACTGTAATGACAGTTAGTTTAATTTAATATTTATTAAATTTAATTTTATAAAAGAAAGAAGCAAAAAATCGTTTAAAAAATTGAAAGTTATAAAAAAGAAACAAAAAGAAAAAAAAAAAAGGTTTATATGAACCAATAAATGAATACGTTTAGTTAATCATAGAATTATGATGTAAGACAAAATTATATGAAATGTTTTTTATGACTAAAAATTCTTCTAATGTTTAAATCATACTTATAGAATTCTCTTTTTTCTATGATGAACCTAACCTTATCATTGGATTGATCAATCGTTTAAGTAAAGCGTTAATTACTTATGTGTAAATTATATTTTACTTAAAGATTCATTGTTTTAACTTTTTTGAGATATTTATAGGTTCTTAATTATATTTTAATTATTATTTTGATGTTATTAACAAGCTATCATCTTAATCTTTATTTTTCTTTCTCACTCAGCATAACTTATTTAAACTTTTTTTTTTTATCCTCTTTGTTCAATAATTAATAAATAAGCATGACAATTCAATGCAATGCTTCCACTTTATTTGATAAAAATAAAAATAAAAGCTGGTATAACAGAAGAAGAATAGAGAGTGGTAAAGAGAAAGGGACAGAAATGAAAAAAGAAAGGGTAATTTTGAATAAAAAAAATTTTTTTTTTATGTTAAAAATTGTATTCTTCATTCCTTACGAGAAATTGAAACATTTACACCATTTTCTTACTTTCTTTGTTTATTTCTATGCCTTTTTTCTTTTTCCTCCTTTTCAAACCTTAATTGAAAATAGCTTACTTTAAAAAAAAGAAAAGAAAAAATGCAATTACATATATGAGGGTTTATTTTCATCACAACTCTGTAATACTTATACAATCCAAATTACATTTTCATTCTATCTCCACTTCTATTTTTTTCTCATTGTATTATTACTTTGTCCATAGGCTTTAATTTGCCTTGTTCAAGATGTTAGCCTAGCGAATTAATGAGCTAATTAGCAATTTAATTGCATAAGTAAATAGTATGAACTCACTGAGAACATAGGAAAAACATTAACGACTTGAAGTTTCTTTTTTTTTTCTTTTGTTTTTTCGATTGAAAATTCTCGTCCTCATACTTCTTTGGTCGTTCAATTATTAATTAAGTCAAAATTCATAAATTTGATTTTTTTCTTAATATGCCAATAAGTCTTTATAATATTTTATTATCACTTTTCAATCATTTTAATCGTATTTAAATGTTTGCCTTAAACTTAAATTCTGATAATTAATTGATAACCAAATGTGCTTTGTATGGATATGTACCAAAATGAAATCAGTAAAATTTATTTAAAGCATAGTGTAAAATTCTGTAATAGTTAATATAGCAATATTTTTAGTTCAAATAATTTAAATGATTATAATTTTAGCTTCAAATGCAAGCTCAAGCGCAAAAACAACGAAGTTCAACGGTAACATCACGTTCCACCGATTCTATGCTACTATTGGCTACAAATCAAGCAGAAAAATGTTCACGTGAGCTACCGTATACTCAACTATCCGTAACTTTAGATAGTAATCAAAATTATAAAAAGTATGAACCAGCAGTAACAAATCCAACGAAGAATCGACGAAATTCATTAGTTATCGTGGATACGGCAACTGTTATACCAAACTATTACAGTATCCGGAAAGAGATAAAACGAGAATTAAAACTTAGTAAACAGGTTATTTGCAAATTCTACTTATTTTTCCTTTTACTATTCAAATGATGTCTTAAATAGTTTCAAAATTTGGTTGTTTAAAATAAAACTAAAAATCTTTAATAGAATATTTTCTGTATAATTTTATCACTTTTGATTTCAAAAAATTAGTTGAAACCTTCTTATATCACAAATACTGACTGGCTAGTGCTTTCAAACAAATATAAATATGTTAAATCACAATAGTTTATCATATTTATTATTTTATTTAAAAGTTTTTCCAATCTTTTTTTTAAAATTAAGAAAGGAAAGTTTTTATTTATTAGAAAACAAGGGCTAAAAATTTTCTTAGTTTTTTTAACTTAAAAAAATTAAAAACCTAAATAATTAAATAATTACTTTTCGTAGAGGTATTTCAAACGAAAAAAAAAAGGAAGAAGAGAGAAAAAAGATGGAAGAGAGAGAAAGATATTGTAGTTTTAAAGAATACGAACAAGTTGAATTATAGGTTGAATTAATCCTTAGTAATTTTTATTTCAAAATTTAATTCAAGAAAAATTAAGCTGTCATTAAAAATAAAATATATAATCTTTGTTCAAATTTATTTTCTTTTAAATTTTAAAAATTGTTTGCTTTATACAAAATTAAAATTTCTGACCTATGGTTGTATAATTATCAGAAATCAATGAAATTGCCTAATACACCAATTTTGATTGAATTCATTTTCGCCACATATCTCATTCGAACACATTTCATATTTTATTAAATTTGACTCATTAAATTATTATTGTATTCATTTCTAGCAATCCTAAGATTAAACTCTTCTATTTCAAGTATTTAATTATATATGAAAGTAGTCCAGAGCAAATATTCGTCTTCTACCATTTATCAATTATTTCCAATCTAATAGATTTCCTTTTTTTTTTTTTTTGTTTTCGCAAAGTTATTACATTACATTATTATTTTTTAATTAACTGCCAAGCTATTTTGAATAAATTTATCCGAAAATTATTCAAATTAATTTGCACAAAAATTGGTGTTGTTTACACGAAAATTAACGAAATTTAATCAATTCAGTGAAAAATATTTAATAATAGGTGTTAAGTTACAAATTAAAAAACTAAAAAAAAATTATTCCAAATTAAATACTAATTCTCTTCATTTCATTTTTTTTTTCTTACATCGAATCAGTTTTACTTATTTATTTTCTTTCAAGTTATGGAACATTTTTATTCAAAAGATATTTTCTCTTTTTTTGTTGGAATTTTTGTTTGGAATTTAATCACCACAATGATACAAAAAGATCGATTAAAACCACCTCTCAAATGAATTAAAGCAGCGTATGTTTTCTGATTCTATTAAAATTCATTGAATAATTCTATCAAATTCTATTTTTTACTTTTATTTAAAATGTTTCATTCCTTTATAATATTTTCTTCACTTTTTTTCTTTATGATCAAATGAAAATTGCTAATAGTATTTAATTATTTTAAAATTGCTCCATTAATTTGACTTTAAAAGAAAAAAAATATCCAATTTCATTAGTGAACTTCATCGTTATTCAGAAAAGAGCAGTTCATGTTATAGGAATTCTAGAAAGCATAGAAATTATTATTTGAGACTAATTATTCAAATTAATAAAACATTTTAATATTACTAATTGTATATCGTAAGTCACTTACGCTCTTTTCAACAATTAAAATTACTGTGAAATATCAATTATAAAAAATATTCAAATTTTCATTCATATCTAATTTCTCATTTTTACTTAATTAACACTTTCGAATTTATTGCGAACATTTATTTTGTTGATTGTTTACAAATCATCCTTTAATTTCAAAGAAACTCTTGCGAATACTTTAAATTACTTCTTTCTATGCTTATTGAGTACTCAATTTCGGCGTAAAACACAATTCTAGTAACGTTAGCACTTATCAATGTACTACTTAAGGATAGAATTTTTGCATGAAACGTGACAGTTAAGCGTATGTTAAATAGCCATGCGGTTTATTTGTAAACGTTTGAAGAAATGTCGAGCAATAGTTATAGCATTTGTAACAGAATTAGCTCTAAGTTTTAAATTATATATATATATTATCACCTATTATTACTTATCTTATTTTCTCTCATTTCTTTTTTAGATTTCAATTTATATGAAAATTTGAATCATTTCAATTCATTTTAACTTTGATGAAATAACACTCTCAGTCTAATATGACAATGTTCTTTTCCTTGTTTCTTGTCTATCTGAATACTTTCATATTAAAACTTTAGAGAATTATTCTGATCAGTTGTGACTAAATTATGCGAAATTTTCTCACCTTGTACAACTCTGTCATAATTGTCATTTTTATGAAATATTTTGTTAATTAGTAATTCTTAGGAGATTTTTTAATGATATGTTCATTACTAATTAAATCAGGGCTGAATTTAATCTGACTATAATGTATTTCTTAATAATGTAATTTATACATAATATAAAGGATTTCAGTTCCATTTTTCAATTTTTCACATCTCTATTCAGCTTATTAAGCATTTTCATTTGTGTAAAAGTAGCAGCATTGAAATCGTATGCAAATTTCTACCAATTTTCATTCATCAAGTCACTGGTGATACTTGTTAAATTGATATATAATTAGATGTCTTCATAAAATACTAAAACTTTTGCAAACTTTGATGATTGATTTTCAGAAAATTCAATAACTTATATTATAGCATTTATACTGAAACGAATGAAGTTTTAATGCAAATTTAGCATTTTTTTTAGGATTTTGTTAACAATAATTTAATCAGTCCTATTGGTCCGCAAGCAAAGACACCGTTGTCACCAACACATCGTGCTCAGAAACAACCATTTGGTAGTAGTTGTGCGGTAAACAATGATAATACTGCTGCCGCAACGGGTATTACTGATTCAACAAATGATAAGCAAACTTATAAATCCTGCAAGAAAATTACCACTAATTGTACCGCAAAAGGTAAAATAAACATGTTGTTGATATATCGAATATAATCAATGTAATTCTTGATAATTAATCATAATTATTCACAGTTATGCAACAGTATGCTTACAAATAATAAATGAAAACTACGATTATCTAATTATTATAATTAAGTGATGATAATGATGGTTAGGTGATTGTTTGTGATTGTTTATGAAAATGCCATATATTCAATATTTTTTGTTTTTCTCGATTTATTTTATACCATTTTAAATAAATTAAATTGATTTAGAAACATAAATGATAAAATAACATTTTAAACAAATGAAATAATGAACGCTTATGTGTAATTAGTAATTGTCTATAACAAGTAATTATATATATATATATCAATAATCACTAATAATTATAGCTATAATATCCACCATTTGATAAATGCTGTTTATTCTTCGAAATATTGCTAATAAAATATTTTATGCTTACAGCATTGGTGCCAAATGATAATGTAAAGAGGAGAACAGTGATTCAGGCATCTACGTCAGAATTACTTCGTGGCCTTGGACAATATTTATCAAAGCAATGCCATATTCGACATTTTGAGCCTGCTCAACTTGTTATGTGGCTTAGGACCGTTGATAGGGCACTTCTGCTACAGGTATTTTAATTTTTTTAACAAAAATTTCATATAAATAAATTATAAAATGTTGAATAAAAAAGGATTAAAATAATGTGATAAATGATTTATTAGCAACTATCACATGACTGTGTCAATTTAATTTAATACTTAAACTTGTATATGAAAATTTTTGTTTTAATTAAGATTATTAAAAGTAGTTTTTCTTTTATTTTTGGTTAACATCATTAAGATATTTTTTAGGGTTGGCAAGATGTAGCATTTATTAATCCGGCAAATTTAGTCTTTGTTTATATGTTGGTGAAAAGTATGGTGAGTAATAATGAAACGATAAAAACGGTGGAAGAATTGCAATCGGTTGTGCTCACCTGTCTTTATATAAGTTATAGTTATGTTGGAAATGAAATTTCCTATCCATTGAAACCGTTTCTTGTTGACCAGGTTCAATTTATTTCTTTAATTCAGACACATTGAAAAAGAATGGAAAGATTCTGAAATAGCAATCAAAATACAAAAAATTGTAAATTAAAAATTTCAAATAGCTATGTTGAGATTATCCGATTATATATATAAATATAACATGAAATTTTCAAATGACTCTAACATTCATAATATCCATTTGTACAAATAATTCATTTCAAAACAATTATATCCGAAAAACTGTAACCAAAATTAATACCGTTTATATACGATGCAGCTCATTTTTCAACTTTCAAATTTTATTTAAAAAACAAATTAACTGATAATTTATTTTTTTTTTAAATAAAAGGTTTCATTGACAGCATTTCAACAAATGTTTTATTAGATTGTATGATAAAAAAAGAATCACATATACTTATAATATTTACTAAATATTTCAGAAAATAACCATACAATATATTTGATCTAAAATATTTGTGTTACAAATGTTATTTAATTAATGAAAATAAAAACATGTTAAAATATTGTTTGAATAAAACTTTCAAAATTGTTTTCAAAGATTAATTGTAAAGAGAAGAGGAAAAAAATAAACAAACGTAAATTTATTCTGAAAATTGATGATTAAATATGTGGGTAAACAAATAAACACGTATAAAATTCTAAAATTGAAATGCTACTGACAAGCTATTAGCATAACATGTTAGTTTCATTTTATCCGATCAAAATATTTCAAAAGCTTTCACCAACAAATTTTAATGCATTCATACATTCTCAAAAGAAGAATGCCTCTAGCAAAATGTTCAATAAACTCAAAAATAAAACAAACAAAAAAAAAAAAAAAAACATTCTCAGGAGAAAAAAAAAAAACAAAAACAAAAACTTTTCTTTTTTACAGTTTTTTCCTTACTTTTTTGGAAGAATAAAAATTTCGCATAGAGAATATTATTAAAATTAATTTATGCATAATTTTTTTTCATTGCAAAAATTTTTTTTTTAAAAAAATTGTCAATGACTAAATAATGGAAATTGCAGGATCGCGATCGTTTCTGGGATCGATGTGTGCAAATAGTAAATGAACGAAGTGCTGATATGTTACGACTTAATTCATCAACAACTTATTTTACTGAAGTATTTGCTGAATTAAAACATTATGCTTTAGAATAATGTATAATAACATGCAAAAAAAAAAAGGTAAAATTTAATTAGAAATTATTTAATTTTTCTCCAATGTTATTATTCATCATAATTTAATAAATTTATTCTTTTATGATTTATCATCTTTCGTTTTTTTTTTCTTTTCGTTCTTTTTGATTTTTTTCTAATAGTTTATTTCTGTCTTTATTTTACTTCATTTCCTTTTTTTTTTTTTTTTTTAACATACTAACATAATTTGAAAAGCATTTTTCGATGTTTGATTAAATTTTAGCATAGGTTTTTTTTTTTTTTTAATTCTTATTCCTATCTATCTTTTTTTTTGATTTCTACCATTACCTTTTTTTTCGAATTAAGATTATATATAAGTATTGTAGTTCTAGAACATAGATTTATGACACTGCTTAAGAGAAAAAAATTTTTTAATCTTAATTTTCTTTTTAAAATTTTTTAGTTTTGGTTATGTTTTTCATCATTTTTTTCCATTCATCTATCATGATCATGTTTCAGATCGTTTTATGAATATATCAATTTCACTAATACAATAAGCAGCCATTAGCTACTGATCTATGGCTGATCTATGAAATTGCTAATATTACGATTTGATATCCAAATGATAGGTTGACAGTATCATCAATAAAAAAAAGTGAAAAAAAATGAAAAATAGAAATGGTGCTATTATATTATGAAATAATTTTTAATATTTAAAAATTTATAAATTTGGATAGAAAAAAATTATCATTATCTCGTTTTGTTTTGTAATTTAATTCTGTTTCATAGTGATGAGATATTTTCTTAGCTTAAAAATGTTGAAATATGATGAAGGCTGAATTTAAAAATTAGTTGAAACATATTTTTTTAAAAAAAAATAATAATAATAAAGTCAAATAACAACTGCCAACATTTTAGATGACATTTTTTAAATATTGAGTAAAATAATAAATGAAATACTTTTTGAAAATAAATGAGTGCAATAAATTAAAATGATTGTATTATTTAGTATAAAAATGATACATTTTTAAACAATAAATTTTTTTCCGCAAGAAATAAAATATTCTTCAAAAAGAAATGAAAGAAAAAAATCAAAGTGAAAAATGAATAGGAAAAAAATTGTTACTCATTTTTTGATTATTATTAATGCAGTTCAAAATGCTCAAATATTTATTCATTTTGAATTTTGTTATTCGATATTTTTAAGACAATGCACGAATGATTTTTCTTTTGTAAAATTTATTTTTTAACAACAACAATATATAGTTATGCTATCTTATTGAAGATAAATCGTATATAATTAATAACATGGATAATGAAAGCAATAAGATGAAAGATTTTATTTAATTAGCATAATTATTAGTGATGAGTCATAAATCATAGATAGATACATTTGATTAATCATAAATTATCTGAATGCTATTGAAATCAAATTAACGTACGTATTTTCCATGAGTTTGTTTATTTTTTATAATTTTTTCTGTCAATATATATCAAAAAATTGTTTGAAATTTAAAAAAAAGAGGAAATTAAAAGTTTGTTTTTTAAATTAATCAATGATCTCATTAATATTTGCACAATATTTTTTAATATAAGTAATGCATATTTGTATAACTCGATCTATAAACATTATTGATCTCAGCAAATAAATGTGATTGTATATGAAATCGGTTATATTCGATGTCGAAATGCCCTATGCAGTAATATTTTGCTAATTAGTATGACAATATTTTAATAATCGATTATTTTGCTTTTAAATTAGTGTTAAAAAAAGTTTTTGAAAAATATATCGCACTCATAATTATTACAGGGTACTGCAATTATTTCAATTTTTAGCATTATTGTTGCAATAAACATTGGACAAATAAACAAAAATAATAAATGGCTGTATACAACATATAGGGTTTATTTAGAATGTTCTCCAATTAAAAAAAATTCAAAAGAAAAAGTTAAAATTAAAAAATTTTTTCCAATTTTAACAATAGGATATGTGTTGTAGATAAACTAAGCTAACACTATTTACTAGGTTTTCATTATTTTCTTTTATTTATAGTAAGTTCTATAAAAAAGTAGCAATTTTTTGTAATATTTCTTATAAAAACTGATTAAATTTATTAATTCATTTAATTAATTTACTGGTAATATACTTCAATCATTTACAATAATATAATTCATTAAGACCAAATGCCAGATACGGATTAAGTATGGATTTTCTTATCATTTTACTTTTAACATTAAATCATCTTAGTTATTCAGTCTATAGATAAGACGCTTGGTTAATATCATTGAACTTTTTGTTAGTATAATTGATTGATCTCAAATTAATGAAGTTTTTAAATGCTGATACTGTTATCATTAAACTGATATTGCATTAAATGTACTACTGTTTATCTGTTTATTTATTTGTTTGTTTATTTATTTGCTTACTTGCTTATGCGTAATTAATCTCTTTACATTTTGTTTATGCTTTACAAAAACGTGTATGTGCAGCAAATTTAAAACATAATTGGTTTCAAATTTTTTAAACTTACTTATTAATTGTGTATACAATAAATATGTATATGTGTGTTCTATTTTCTGACTGCTAAAAGTGCTTCAAATAATATCGTATAAAAATGCTTTTATATTGTATTACACTGCCACAAATAAAACTTTTTTTCATTTAGAATAATAAATTAACATAATTGAAATTCATGTAAAAAAAAAAAAAACATAAGAAATATGAATATAATATATCATTACTGTATATCTAATTGTTATAAATTTTATTTTAATTTGAAAATAAACTTTTTCAACTGTACAACATTATTAAGTTATCCATTAATTATTAATATAAATTATTATTAGTAATTTAATTACTAAAAAAGTATAATTTGTTTACTTACAATAGCGATACATAATGCAAAAAGACGTCATATCATGCATTTCTTTATTTACAAATATTACTTGCTTGTTAGCAATTAGTTATTATTATTATTATTATTATTTTAATATTTTCTCATATAGCATTTTATATAGCATGCAATGCAGTAATGCATATATTGCATGCATTCCTCAATAAGTATTACTTTGATCGATGTTGTTAATATTATATTTACTTGCACGTAACACGCAACTTGCAGTTTATGTCCAATAATCTAATTGGTAATCATCATTCTCATTTAACGTATATCTTTTTACTCTCCTCACTTCACTTACTCTTTATAACACTACACACACATACACATACATGCACACATACATACATATAGACATACACAGACTGACACACACACACACACACACATATGCACACAAAGTACATTGCAATAAATTTGTATTATTCCCTTCCCCCGTGCACCCGCCTGTGCGTACGTACACATACATACATACATACATATCGTAAAGACACACATACACACACATAGAGAAGACATACACACATACACATACATAGAGAAGACATACACACATACACATACATAGAGAAGACATACACACATACACATACATAGAGAAGACATACACACATACATGTATACTTACGTATGTGTGTGCACTCCAACGGTTGTAATGCTGAAGTAGGATCATACTTGCATGTCATTTTGTACATTTTAAATTATTTGTTAATTCAGTTTCCGGATTGTTTGTATCATCTCATAGATTTCTTTTTCCGGACTAGTATATTATTTCGGAATTTTTAATTCCAAATAATATATTGCTTGGTGTTTTTGGTTGATAAAAGTTCTAATTTGAAATGTTTAAATAATGATGCAAGGATTAGCATGCGTCTTGTTTCTTTTTTTCTTTCTTTTAATTTTTGCATCTAACCTTTATATGCATTTTAACATTTCAAGGGAAGCAAATTGATCACTACCGTAAATTACGTTCAGTCACCATTTTGTTGATATTAATTACATTTATGATATTTCTTATAATATATTATGTGTAATTTGAGATTCTGAAAATTTCGCATGTTTCAGACATTCACGGAACACTCTGTTAGTAATAATAACACTTTTCTTAGTCATAGTAGTAATTTAACCGCGAGATTAATTCAGTCAATCATTGAATCAAATAATTTCTTTTTTTTTTTTCATGTCTAACTGCCTTTTTTTTTCAGCTCGTTTAACAAGTATGCAGTTTCATTGCTGCATGCAGTTGCACTATCTTCATACTGCACTCAGTAATAGCCGAGTTGCACTGATGGCTTCTTCAAAATCAATAATAGTACATCCGTTTGTTTTATTTACTAAATTATTGGAGATATACGTGTAGCATTCATTCATTCATATATAAAATAAACCTTTTTACAACGTATTAATACGAATATATTCTATTCACTGTTATTTTCTTATTTAGAAATATATGCGAAATATTTCTAGGTGATTCAATCCGATAGTAATCAATGGAACAAGTCGAAACGGCTGGTGGTTCAGAAGCAATTTTCGAACTGATCAATATTATACGACAAGATCCGAGTATTTGGGATCGAACATCCACTACATACATTACTCATTTCGATTTAAAAATTCATCGATTTGCCGAAATTGCAGAACAGCTCAATTTGGAAGCTGGTTAGTACATTTTCTTCTAAAATAGTTACTTTCGTAATACACCGCTTATAAAAACTGAGAATTTGAATGAGAATTAGAAATTAGAAGGTGATAGAAGTATATACTGTTATGATCTATTTATAAAAGGTTCTTTTTATGTCAAAATTAAAGTCCGAAGTATTCTTTTTGCACCTTATTATATGAATTGTTTTACATCTGTAATTACTGAAATATTATACTTACTTTTTTCAAGTGAGAGGACAGTTAATACTTAAAAAATAGCTGAGGCCAAGATTTAAGATTGTTTTTGAGATAATATGGTTGGTTTACCTTAAACCATGCTATAACTAACGTTTCATTATTAGTGTTATTTGTGCTATCCTATTATTTTTGTAAGAGGAGGTTTTCTTTTTTCACGTTTAGAAAATAAGCAAGCAGTTGAACTGTTATCGAAATTAATGCTTGAGATTTTCATTTATAGCTTGCGAATTTTTTATCGTTCATGTAAAATTTCGAATTATTTTTATTTCAGTAACAGCTGAAGTCGTGGCATCAGCATGGCGCGAATTAAGCGAAAAATATCGTCGACGATTGTATGATGGTAAACGTCGAAATGGTGCAACAAATTGGCCATATTTCGAAGCAATGAGCTTTTTACGAGATCAATATGAGTAAGAATTTTATACGATGGTAAACGTCGGAATGGTGCAACAAATTGGCATATTTCGAAACGAAATACTAAAAGTCTTTGTCGACAATTATTTAGGAAAACTTAATTCAATTATTTGCCTTCTTTTTTCAGTATTCTTTGCTAATAATAGTTGTAATAACAGATCTTATCATTGTTACATATCTAACTTTTCTGATATAACTTACGAGCAGCATGTATACTTGTATTTCAACTCCTTATATTTGTAGACAGACCAAATGGTATCGACCATTAGCGGTAGCACGAGCCAATCACTTACCGTCATCATCAAATGTTGCACATCTGGTGGATACATTCTTAACTGCACAAGCTGTCCTTGATGCTGAGCAAACAATCTCAAAAGCTGTTGAGCCAATGCTTCCCATTACTTTGTCAGATTCTCTACAGGTTCTTTATTTGGGATTTTCTACCATCATAACATATTTCTTTGCGAAAACCTTTGCAATTAACTTTCTATGTCCTTCTTTACCAATTCCCAAAGTATTTTTATTACAACTTAAAAGCATTTTTTTTTTCGTAGAAAAGTACATACTGTTATAGGGTAGCTAGTACAAAGGCAATTAGCTATTATCATATGATGAATGATATTATTATTTGCAGTTGTAAGTTCGTCATGTAGTAATACAATTTGATTTATTCATTTCAATTCCGAATGTATGCCATCCATTTACTAAAGCTTATTTGTTGCGTATTTCAGCAAAAAGGAGATGCAGTATTAGCTATACCGCTTGGAACTAGTGATGAACGAAGTGAGTTCAATAATTTATTTAATTCCGTTTCATTTATTCTTTCTCTTTGGTTAAACTTTGTTTCTAACAGCAACAAGTTACCTTAACTAAGCTATAATTGTATTAGAATAAGACTCATAACTCCGTTCTTTTAATTTGTTCTAACTTGCAGAAACTGAATTCACAGCGAAATACGAATTGGTTGAACCCACGTTTCATCCCTTCACAACCACTGATCAAAATGAATTGAGTGGAAAGTTAGTTCTTATCTTTCTTTCTTTCTTCGTTTCTTTTTTCGATATAATTTCGTTATGTATTCAGCAGACAAGTTTTTACCTCGGTGATCTTTTCTAATATTATCCAGCTAATTTAGCTGGAGAACAAAAGTTCAGTCTCATATAATAAATTTTGAAGCTTGGTAATGGATACCGTATTGATCAAAAATTAGATTTTATGTGTTTAAATAGTACCTCATATTGACTAAATCTTTTTACCAAAACATCGCTATATCTTTAACCCTCTTTTAAATACATAGTCGAATGATAAGAATTCTTCCTTAGATGTTCTTTATCATATTTTAGTTATAAAAGAGAAGTAACATTTTTTTTCTCATTTCTCTTAAAATTTATACAAATAATGTTATTTGCCAACTTTTTCCAAAGGAATAATTAGGGAAGTTCTGCTATAATTATTGAGAATTTATATTTAATTTTGTCGTTTATATTTTTCTTCACTTCTTGATCTTGATGAACTTACTTGCAGTTATACAAGAACTGCTTACAGCGTTGATATAGATAACATCGCCATAGCTTCTGCTGCTGATAGTACGAAATCACCGGAAAATTATGATGACAAGCAATCAGCATCACCAGCGGCATCCGTTGATGGCTTACCGCAGAGCAGTAGCAATAGCACTGCGGATCAACCAACACCTGTTCTTAAGACACGGATACGAACACAGCGCTACGAAGCATACAGAAATCCTCGTCGAATATGGAAACAGCAAAAGCAATCAGTATTACATATATATTAGCATAATATTTATTTTCTCATGTTTCTTACTCCTTCAAAATTGACTTATATATTCATTTAAAATCATTTAAATATTTTTAGGGAGCTATTTTGAATTTCTATCCAGACAAATTTTGAAAACTGATGTAATTGTCTAAATTTAAATCGAACTTTTTTATTCCATCTAAAAATTGATAGATTCTTGATATGATGTTTACGCACTAATATTGCAGTATTTTAGCTTTTAGATTTCCATCAGAAGAATTTAGCTTTCTATTATTATGCAATCAAAATTATTAAATCAGGTTAGTCATGCATATACTTAGTTAATTCATTTTTTTGTAGCAAAATTCTGGCACCATTAATAATACGTTTTCTGCTATTCCAACGGGCGAGACAGTTGCAGAGATTTTGCGATCTGTAGTAAGGCTTTTTTCTCAATACAAATTTATTTCTTCAAGGAAAAAATTCGAGTTTTTTATCTAACGATTAACATGTATTAATCAATTTCAAGTACCGTATTATCATTATTACAGCAGCATGCTATTAACATATATCATTCAGTTTTGTTTTGATTAACATATACTATTTAACTTTTTTCTTAATTTTTGGTTGTAGTTACTCTCTTTATTAAAGTTAAAAGATTCTGTTTGTTTATGTTTTTTAATAATTTATTTTAGCGAGTTAACCCTGATGGATTATCATCATATAGCTTAAATCCGAATCCTCATTATCATTTGCAACAGCAGCAACATTTCTCACCTCCTGCATTATGCGATAGTTCTTCAAGATGGGAGAATGTTGGTAGGATGAATAATTTGTCTAATCATGTTTTGCTATTATTCGTGTTAGATTTCTGGATTTTTTATCATTTAAAAAAAGCGCAATAGTTATTCTGTGCTCTTACATTATAATATTTAGCACGCATTTTGCTTCCAAATTATATTAACCTTACAAACTTTTCAGTTTTTTGAATTTCATAAGTGGGTTTTTTTTTTTTTGGATGTTTACAGGTCGGGTATGGGTAGATATGATGAAAACGATACGATCACCTCAGCTAGCACTAGCAGCACACAAATATATTATGAATACGTTGTTTTCCGTTTTGGAAGCTGATCAGCAACTTGCTGGTACCGATCCGAATGCGACTCGTATCCGAATTAAAGATAGTGCTCCGCAAATCGAAATTACCATGCATCAGTGATGTTTTTCTTTAGCAGATGCATTCTCAACTTGAGTTAATTTTTTCTTTTTTCTTATGCATAATATATGTAATACAATTTGGTGGTAGCTAATCTCTCCTTATTTTTAGACTTCTCAATTTGATAAATTGATCAAATTACTACAAAATATGACGCAAGTCTGCAAACTTTCTAAATTTTAGATGAAATTTCATTACCATTACTTATTTCTCTTGTTGTCTAAAATCTAAAATAATCTTAATAATCTGAAAATAATTTGCAAAATAATTTATTAGTGAAATAGGAGGAGAGACAAGCTTCCAGTCAGTGAAAACATGTTGAAATGGAAAATTTTTGTTTTTACTTTCCAAACCTGATCAAACATGTGCAAAGGATGGGAGTTATGCAAGTTGTTGATCATATAACGGATTCGTGTAATTTATTGTTATCCATAAAATTTAGTTCATTTAAATGAAAAGTAATAGTTAATGTACAGGATACGCTTATATAATAATAATACTAATAAAGAGACAGAATAAGCGAAAGGATAAACTTCTTAATACAGTCGTAAATAATATTCTGTAAAATTCACGATTTGATAATATAATTTGTTTTTCTTTTCCATATTAATCTAGAAGTTCTATCTTTACTACTTACTATTTTACTATCGCAGTAGAGAGCTTTGTACATATAACTTATTGTTGTTCGGTGATTTAAAATATTTGCTACACTTTTTTCTTTGGATCTTTTTTGCGTAGAATTGAAATTCCAAAAATGGTTTTATATTCATTTATTTGAAAAGTAAATTTCTTCATTTTAATCATCTTAATTTTTATTTCCTGGAGTAATTATATATATATATATTTTTTTACATAATATAATGCCAACTGTTATTGATGATAGCCGTCTCGAGTAATTGAGTAATTTTTGAGTCATTATTTAAACATCCCTCATTTGCTAATCTGATTAGATCTCATTTCTGCTCCTAAGATTTTTTTTTTTTTTTTTTGTTTTCACCAAGTCTACTTCTCTTTATAATTTTTGCCTATACATACAAATATTTGAGCAGTTGTAATAAATATTTATTGAGGTCAAACTTTCAATACACGTTTTTGATAAACATATATTGAAAGTTTGACAATCGAATTTTGCAATATTGCATCGCTAACACAGCATACTTTCTTCATTTTTTAATTGGTCGAAATTCTTTTGTTTCAAATTAAAAAAATCCATACACAAAAATATTTCATACTAACATTCTCAACTATTAATACAAATTATACTTGTAGCAAATTGTGGTTGAAATGATACAAAGTATCATATAAAGCTCAAATCTTGAGAAATTTTCTTACTACCGGATAATCTGAATATTACATTTGGAGAGTTTCTAAACATTATTATCAAATTATATTTAATATTTAAGTATTTATAATGTGAGGTTGAAGCCGAGCGATAGAGTTAGTCCACTTAAAGTAAGATTCGGAATTGATAGGAGCAATGATAACGCTAGGCAAGCATTCGATTATTAATACGTGACAGTAAGTGTGAAAATATATTTAATAATGTCAACAAAAAATGGAGGTCAATAGAAAAAGTTGATCTTAATATTTCCATCGGTTTCAATAAATGGCATCCGCAATATAGCATTTAAAGTAGTAAGCAATTAGAAATTAGACACTTAATTATATTTCATTTCTCTCATTTATTTGCTTTCTTGTCATTTCCATCATTTTGAATAAATCACTGTTCATATTGAATAAGAAAGTTCTATTCAAAATTATAATAGTATAACTTTGTAAATAAGAGATCTTAAAATTTCCAATTGTTAAAACATAATTTGAAGCTTTTTCGAGATGTACAGAAAATAAATACTATTATTAAAAGAGAGATATTAAAAGTTATGTGTACCGTAAGATACACATTTGATATTCTCAGTGTTCAAATATTGCAATGATTGAGTTTTCGAAAATAAAACAAAGCAAAAACTGTGTGTTGAAAATTTTTTGATTTATAGATAGTTTGAAAAAATAAATTTTTAAATTTTGCAAGTCAAAGATTTTCATCAAACAGATTTTAATAAGAAGAACCTTGATTATTATAGGAAGGTATCATTTGTGACAGTGAGCTATTTTGAAGTTGAAGGAGAATGCATATATGCTGCGACATTATGCATCAGCAAGAAAATATTTTGACGAAAACAATATTTGAAAATTTTTGAATAATTTGAATTAATCAGTCATATAAAAAACACTGCGTACACCACTAATAACTTATGACAAATAAATGAAATTGGTTGTGCATTTTGTTGAATTTCTCATTCGTTTACTAAATTGAAATCTGCTCAATGAACAAAAAGTATCACTTTCAGCGATCACAATATCAAAACAACCTGTAAAGCCGCGAATACATTATCAATAAAATTTTGGTATTCAATGTGATGAAAAAGCTTAAACATGAATGAAATGAAAATGTTATCTGCTTTTATACCGAATTTTTTTTTATCGGAATAATTTCCGTATGACATTTTTGAATTTGAGATTTAAACATTTCTTGCTATACCTTATTTATTAATTTCTAATGTTCGCTACCGGAATTCTTGATTGCAAAAATTGTAATATCAGTTCATTAAAGTTACACAAGTCTTCAATTCCGTCAAATGATTTCCGTTTCAAGAATCTGTGAAGGTTTTGTCGCTATTCGGGAATTTCCGGCTATCACTAATTTCCTGATGTTTTGCTTAATGCTTCCACGAATTCAGTCTTTTTATTTCCAAATGACAACAACATATAGATGATGAATATTCAAGCTTTCTCGTGGAATAGATAGGTTTAATAACCTAAATTTAAAATTTTTATTTGCACTAATCAGAAACTAAAAACTGTTAAATTATTCCAGTGAAACTATGTTTAAAATTTTGCAGTGTGGAAATTTTCTGAAGCCATAAGTTACTACAATCAAAGATTGAATAAAAAGTTGCAATTGTTTGGAAGGTTTTCATTTGTTTAATTATTAATATTAGGAGAGGTATTTGATCGCAGGGAGCTTGTCTTGGATGTAAATGTAAATGTGTGAGGTAACAGAAATATAAACCAAGTTCTTTATTAGCAGAAGTAATAGGACAAAACGTTGATAGAGAACAATTGAAATTGGAATCGTCGGTCCTTGGCGATAAATTACACATATACTAAATCTTTTAACAAGGGTGATCCTTATATAGCAATTATCTTACATATGTATTAAAATGTGGGAGTGGTTTATAATTAGACATTTTTGTACAAAGGATGATAGTAAGTAACTTTAACAATAGGTTTAAAAATGGATATTACAATGAATTGAATGGATATCACGAAAGAAAGTACAATGGTTTGTCTAAACATTATGATAAGTGGCTACTATGAGTTGCAATAGACAATACATGATAGATGCTTATAGTATATGAATTGATATAAGATCAAAAGTTAATTGAATTGTAAAGACATCAATGGATTGCTATATTAAGCATTGTTAATATTTATTTAGTGCTTCACGTTGTTAAAATCCACGACAGCAATTGCTTGTTTTAAAAAGCAAGCAAATTCTGCAGAACTTAACTCATTTTGAATTTTTTCTAGCTATCAATAATTTTCAAGAAAATCATTTATGCAAAAGATTGTTGACTTCTTGTTCGGCACAAATTAGTGCCGGTTTTGAATATCTTTAGCAATTTTTCGTCATTCATTTAGCTCAGAAATTTCGCAAAATCGTATGAGCACCAACAAAAATAGCTAGAAATTTTATATGATTTAATTCTTTATGTTATTTTAAGCGAAGCATATTTGACTGTAGAAAATAAAGCGTAGCAAAAGTTTCTGATGTGCAAAAGTCACCGAATATGAGGGATCATTTCAAAGGATTCGCATATATGAGCGATAGCCTTCGATGACCCCTGGAAACACAGATGAATGGATAAAATTAAAATAACGATATAATTGTTTGTATTTTAATTATTTCTTCATTTACTTTGACTTCATTATAAAAAACCTCAATTAATTTCCTTTTTAATCAATTTCAACAGCTAGTGGATCAAGAATTTCGAATCCTATCAGCAGAATTTTTGCTTTCACGGGGAATTTCATCGATTCTTTAGAGTCGGAATGAAATAAGTATTATTGCAACCATTGGATGTGATAAGCAAAATTCGAAGAGTTTCATCGATTATTGATAGGTAAGTTTGAGTCAGAAAATTTCATATAATTTGGCATCTAAATATTGGAAGCAATTATCATACTGAGTTATTTTAAAGTTGAAGGAGAGGACTGTCCTGTTGCGACAGTTAAGCATCATCAAAAATATTTTGATTGAGTTTCCCTGACAACTGAGAAAAATGATGTTTAGGACAGTTCACTACTCGTACGATTCTGATGTGATAGTCAATCTGAACATATTTTTGATATGTTTTTGTTCAGTTGTAATAGTTCAGTGGTTTGTTGACCGCGGTTAACCAATCGGATGGAAAATGATGCTGAGATTTACTTAGATCAACTCTTTCAGCCTCTCTTCGAGAAACATTGCTTTCCTTAATCTATCTTAAGAGATGGTTGTTTGATTATTTCTGAGCGGAACTATCATCCACACATTTACTTCTTCCAACTAGCTTTTCCGTTCTCCTTCTCCTCTCGTTACAGTCTTTTCTTCCTCAATGCGGGAATATCGAGTTGTTTTGGATGAAACTCAGTGTACGGTAAACTATTCCGACTGATTTTTTCTCAATGTTAGATGGAAATCTAAGAATAAATATTATTTTATCAACAAGTGAGAAATCTTTCACTAAATAAGAATTTTACATCATTTGTATAGATTCATTGATAATGTTAAATTTTTTTGAAACCAACAATTGCATACGTAGGGCCTAGAAGTTTCTCAGCCTTTGAGTGCGAATTGAAGTGAATTGAACCAGTTTCATATCTATCAGACATTGGTAAGCGTAAGGTACTCAGTTCGATGCCAAATATTTCACTGAAAATGAAATTATGACATCTGAAGACAAGTAGACATCTAAAGAAACTACAAAAGGTGAACTTTCCGTACCTGAATATCTTCTCACTATTCTCTGGCTCAACATTAACTTTATGAAGACGGAAAGCGACTATGTGATGGCTTTCGAGGAATTCTAATCCATTCTGCAAAAGAAAATGGTTAAATGAAAATATACTAAACTGCTTCAATAATGAGTTGGAAAAAAGTTAAAATTAAAATTTATAAATCAGCTTATAGTTAAGAAACTAATCAATCATAAGTGTAACAATCATTTTGCTGAATTTCAGCTTCAATTTCAGTTATAATCAGTTTATTTTGATTAACTTAAATTGAATTAAACAAACAATAAGAATATAAAAAATAGGATCGAACCTTCCATTCTAAAAGCTTTTGTCTCAGCTCTTCTTCATTAGCTGTCTCTTCGACAAACACTGACGCTTCAACGTTGCTCCCGTGAAACACAACAAAGGAAGACAGACGTTTGAAGCTGAAAAAAATGTATAAAACACATTTGCGGTATTTTGTGATGTCATCGTTAAAATTTGATCTGTCTCCCACCAGCATGAATTGCTATAAAATTTGTCACCCTTTTCGATACATCTAATATTTAATATTATAACTAACCGTATTTCACTTTCAACTTGCAAAGCATAACAAATCGGTACGAAGCGGTCTTTTAGTAATGGAGAGATTTTGGTGTCTACTGCCGTCATTATGTCTGATAGTGACAAAGCATTGTTTTGAAAAGCAACAATTAATTTTGGTTCACGCTGAAAATTACAGTTTTTACTCTTTTTTTTGTTTGGTTATATAATTAATCATAGTTAATCTATTCTCCAAAAGAAGAAAAAAACCATTTTAAACAAAATTATAATATTAATTAAATTGTAAACAAATAACATTTGGAAAATTAAGAAAATGCTTTTAAAATTAAAAAAAAAAAAAGAAAAATAAACAATGAATATTACCATTACTTTTAGCCACTGTCTTGAATATACATGAGCTCTGAAGCAATACAGAATTAATTGAATAATACATAATTACTAATCGAGAACTATTTTTGTTTATTATTTGAAAGTATTCAATCAAATCATTCCATTAATCCATTAAATCATATTTATCAAACAGTTTCAAACAGAGAGCGATATCATCGTACTAATTTCGAAAAACGTGCTAATTTTACTAGTATTAATTAGTAATAATTGAGACAAATGCAGAGAACAGTGACACCTACGCAAATAGCAACGTGTAAACGTGGCATTCTGAAACTAACGTGTGACGATGATTCGGTTCTTTTCTAACTTTATTATAATATAATTTAGAAAGCAGCAAATAAGTCTCTTTGATAAATCATCTGTTTTACTATTACTCCTACTACCACTATTATGCAGAGATAATGAAGGATGCAAAAGAAAATTTAAGCTTAGCACAATATGCAACTTACCTGCCAGCAAAAACTTTCATGCTAATAGATGCATGAGGCATTTTTGGAAAAATTATAGCACTTCGAGGATGACCATTGCTTAATTTACTACCTGAATCTGAAACAATCCGGACAAAATTCATATTTTATTTGATATGGTTTTAATTAGATTGAATTGAGATTAATAATTGTAGGATTATTTCAATAGGTAATATCAAAATTTATTAAAATTACTTACAAAGTGATAGTTCATGATCAATTATCATATTATTGCCAAATGGTGCAATCCTCAAATACATTGGGCCACATAGTCTACGTTTTAGTGGTGTGAGATCATTGTAATCATCAAATAATAAACCATTTTCAGCATGCCATTTTTGAAGCTGAAATATGCTAAATCTGTAATTCAATTTTTTTTTTTTTTTTTGAATTTTTTAAGCGGTAAGCATAGTATTCAAATATCGGAATGACTGAGATTTTCTGAAAGAAAACAAAGTGAAAACTTTTTTTTTTGATTTAAAAAAATTAAACTTCTAATTTTTTTTTATAAATTTTTTTTTGCTTAAAAAAAGATGAAAAATTAAACTTCTAATTTTTTTATAAATTAGAAATTTTTGTCAATTATTAGAAAGAAGCAAATTTTAGCAAAAATATCATACTGGTCGAATTTCTTGTGTGTAAATTTCAAAAATAAAAACTAACCATTGAAAAATTTTTAAATTCATCGTCACTAGCAGAGATAGTATTTACTTGCTGTTTATAAAGTGAAAAGATCTTCTGATTAGCTGCATTTCTTATTGTACCATTTACGATGACCAAAGGTTTAATCCGTTCATTCAACACTTCGTTTGCACTCTTTTGAAAGTATTTGCAAACACTTTAATGAAATAATTTGATGATAAGAAAATTGATAGTAAATTGATGGTTTATTTTCACTGAAAAAATGTACATAATTTTCAAAGAAATTGAATATAAAATAAACCGACTTGCGCATAGATAACAAATCGCTGTTCTTGAAAGTAGCAAAATTTTTTGTTATTGAATCAGTTATTGGCTTAGAAATATCCATCATAATACCCAAACTTTTGCAAGTTTCATTGTAACTGTCATCATTTTTTTCTCCTAAATTATGTTAATTCAGTAAGATTAAATTAATCAGATGAGAAAAAAAAAATCAAAATTTAATTGCAGAAGTTGTATTAAGCGACGTACCTTCTATAGGAAATAAACAAAGGGTAGAAAGTAGCAAAAAATGAAAGATTTTTCTCATTTTTCAAAATTCCCAAATATGAGCGATAGCCTTTGATCACTCCTGAAAACACAAATGAATAGATAAAATTCAAACATCAATGTTTTAATTTCCTCATCCACTTTGACTTTATTATTAGAGCTCTCAATTAAGTGTTATTTTTACTATATATCGACAGTCAGTTAGACCAAAATTTCAAGCTTATCAGAAGACTTTTGAATTGAATTTTAACCTTCACTATCATAATTACTGATAAATTGTTTCGAATCTTATAAGCCGAAATGAAATAAATTGGACTCAATAGGCAAAATTTAAAAAGTTTCATTAATTGTTGATAGGTAGGTTTGAGTCAAAAAATTTCATATAATTTGGTATTAAATATTGAAAACGATTATGGAAGGTATCATTTGTGACACCGAGCTATTTTGAAGTTGAAAGGAGAGTGCATATATATTGCGAATTTATGCATCATCAAAAAAATGTTTTGACGAAAACAATATTTGGAAATTTTTGAATAATTTGAATTAATCAGTCATATAAAAAACACTGCGTGCACCACTAATAACTTATGACAGATAAATGAAATTAGTTGTGCATTTTGTTGACATTTTCATTCGTTTACTAAATTGAAATTGAATTTTTCGAAAGATGGCAAATACCCGAATTACCATAATATTCTATCTCATACGTCGTGCCTTATATAATATTTCATTTTCAAATTAATGGGACTTTTGGTAGAGCTTAAAATAACGCAAAGATTTAAATCATATTAAATTTTTAAAAAAAAAAACATATCAAAAATATGTTCAGATTGACTATCACATCAGAATCGTACGAGTAGTGAACTGTCCTAAACATCATTTTTCTCAGTTGTCAGGGAAACTCAATCAAAATATTTTTGATGATGCTTAACTGTCGCAACAGGACAGTCCTCTCCTTCAACTTTAAAATAACTCAGTATGATAATTGCTTCCAATATTTAGATGCCAAATTATATGAAATTTTCTGACTCAAACTTACCTATCAATAATCGATGAAACTCTTCGAATTTTGCTTATCACATCCAATGGTTGCAATAATACTTATTTCATTCCGACTCTAAAGAATCGATGAAATTCCCCGTGAAAGCAAAAATTCTGCTGATAGGATTCGAAATTCTTGATCCACTAGCTGTTGAAATTGATTAAAAAGGAAATTAATTGAGGTTTTTTATAATGAAGTCAAAGTAAATGAAGAAATAATTAAAATACAAACAATTATATCGTTATTTTAATTTTATCCATTCATCTGTGTTTCCAGGGGTCATCGAAGGCTATCGCTCATATATGCGAATCCTTTGAAATGATCCCTCATATTCGGTGACTTTTGCACATCAGAAACTTTTGCTACGCTTTATTTTCTACAGTCAAATATGCTTCGCTTAAAATAACATAAAGAATTAAATCATATAAAATTTTTAGCTATTTTTGTTGGTGCTCATACGATTTTGCGAAATTTCTGAGCTAAATGAATGACGGAAAATTTCTAAAGATATTCAAAACCGGCACTAATTTGTGCCGAACAAGAAGTCAACAATCTTTTGCATAAATGATTTTCTTGAAAATTATTGATAGCTAGAAAAAATTCAAAATGAATTAAGTTCTGCAGAATTTGCTTGCTTTTTAAAACAAGCAATTGCTGTCGTGGATTTTAACAACGTGAAGCACTAAATAAATATTAACAATGCTTAATATAGCAATCCATTGATGTCTTTACAATTCAATTAACTTTTGATCTTATATCAATTCATATACTATAAGCATCTATCATGTATTGTCTATTGCAACTCATAGTAGCCACTTATCATAATGTTTAGACAAACCATTGTACTTTCTTTCGTGATATCCATTCAATTCATTGTAATATCCATTTTTAAACCTATTGTTAAAGTTACTTACTATCATCCTTTGTACAAAAATGTCTAATTATAAACCACTCCCACATTTTAATACATATGTAAGATAATTGCTATATAAGGATCACCCTTGTTAAAAGATTTAGTATATGTGTAATTTATCGCCAAGGACCGACGATTCCAATTTCAATTGTTCTCTATCAACGTTTTGTCCTATTACTTCTGCTAATAAAGAACTTGGTTTATATTTCTGTTACCTCACACATTTACATTCACATCCAAGACAATCTCCCTGCGATCAAATACCTCTCCCAATATTATTAAACAGATCGAAACTTTCCACGACAACCTCTCAGATAGATTCACCGTTTTAGAATCCCGTTCGATTAAGTCTGAGCAATTCAGTAATTCCATTTAGTTATACTTATTATCACGGAATTGGTTACAAATTGCTAATATTAATTTACTATTAGCAAAGGAAATACTTCAATTGTCATTGCTTGAATAGGTAACAATGAAATTGCATTATAATTACATGTAATAAATATTTTAATACAAAATATCATTTATTCAATGTATTCTGAACATACAAATAATTTTTGTAACATTCAAAATTGAAAGCAAAATTTTTAAGGATGAAAATTTACAAATAGTTCTCAATGTTCGCTTTATCCATCCATCAAAATTTGCACAGTTTGTTCTACAAGATTTGCAAAATCAGGCGGTCTTCTCACAAGTCCTTTCCGGATCCGTTCTTGATAATCACGCATGCTGCCATCAATACCATTCATATTACAGTTGTGCTCTGTACAAGCACATAATCGTGTAATATCACGACTAGTACTACGTTCAACGCATGCTCCTTCCTGAAATACTCATTTTCTTAAAACAGAAAATTTTAATATTTATAAATTTGATTTTTCCAACTTCTTTCTGATTTAGTTCTACGACAAAGGCAAATAACTTACTTCGCATAAATAACTGACAGTAACTGGTAGCATACTACCAAGTATGGGATGTGTTCCAACTATAAAACGATATTCATCTTCACAACCACCAAATTCCACGGTTCCTTCGGTTTTTTTGTCTAGGAAAATGATAATTTTTTAAAATGAACAATAATATTTTGAAACACCAATTCTTCGCA